ATCCCTATCCTCACAAAGCAGCCAGTCACTGTCTTAGCAAAGAAGGGCATGTGGCACCAGCGCTCCAGCTTGTGTCTGGACAGACGGACCCTGTTGAGCTCATCTGGTAGTGAAACAGGCTGAGACTTCGGTGGAGTTTCTTCCTTTCTGTTGGCAGAACACAGTTGAGTTACATTACTGAAAAGGGTGGTCTTGTGATGGATGTATTGCTTGAACAGGAGCAGAATCAAACATACTCGTCATCATCGTAAGACGATGAACGTGAACTCCGGTCACTTTTGACTGATGACTTGTCGTCGTCTTCCTCCTCTTCCTCCTCATCGTCAGAGTAAACCTCACTCGTCTTCAGGGGCTGACGTTTGGCCAGAAGTTCCGCTGCTCAGCAAAGAGATCAAACGTTAGGGTTTTGTAGGTGAACTGTCACAACAATCGCGTCACAAAGGGATGAAATTACACCAACCTGTTTTGTTTTTCTTCTTCTCGCGTTCAGCTTTGAGTTCTTCCATGGCCTGGGATTTTTTGTCAAGTTTTTCGTCACGTTTGGATCGTCTCTCCTTGTTGTGTGACATGACCTAGGGAGGGGCGGTTATTACAGTTACACACAGGGGAAAGAAAAGGCTTCATGATATATTAATGTTGATTCGGTAAGAAAAGAAAAAGAAAAAGCAAGAACAATGCCATCAATATGGGGATTTACATACAATATCAATCTAATGTTTAAACTGAACTCACCACTTGCGTGTCTTGAACCTGAGATAGCTTCCTTTTTTCTTGCTCTTCCTCCTGTTTCTTTTTCTTCTCCTCTTTCTCCTTCTTCTTTGCCGTCTTCAGCTTCTTTTTAATTTCAAAACTGTCAAAACAAACATAGTCATGAATAAATAAGCGGGCACACTCAGCAATGTTAAAATGCCACACTCTGCCTTGTGCGTAAACGTTTTCGTTGAGAGACGAGGAAACGAGAACAAAACACCCAATTTATTTGAAAAGTGTTTTCTGTGTGAGTACATCCCACTGATTGTTGCATCGTCACCACTCACCGTCTCTTTAGCACCTCTCTCTTCTCAATTCTGTTGAACAACTCCTGCTCTCTCTCCTTCTCCGTCATCTGCTCCAGCCGGGCTCTGTCCTCCGCGTCTCCCATCAGGTCGTCGTCGTAGCCGTCCCTGAACACCTCATCTTCAGAGGAGTCGGAGTCAGAGCTGGAGGACGAGCTGTTGCTCTCTGAATCAGACACCTCGCCTAAAGATAAAAAGTGATTTCATTAGCACAAACATCTGGGGGAAAAAACGGTCAGTTCTCAGTGCAGAGTGCAAAACACGAGCAAGACGCTACAGGGTAAGAATGTCCAGAACCACAGTTGGCCTATCAAGACAATTTTTAATTGATCAGTATTGGCCACATTGAGCCGTACTCCTTTATTTTTCCCCATTTTGTTCTGTCTACACCAACTTTCATGTCTCTGAAAAGATTTTATGTACAACTTTTGGCAGGGAGACATACATATTAAAAAGTGGGTGAAATAAAGGAATGTTGAACTGCTATTAAAATGGAAACGAAGGCAGCCACACAGCTACTTTTGCTGGTTAAAATGCCTCAGTTTCACCAAGTGGCTATAACAGCTTTTCCCCACATGGCCAATATTATAAGGCACCAATATAAAGTAAATTGAAGGTGATTTAAATGTTATTCTCTACAGGGTTTTTTTCTCAAGAGAGTGTGATGTAATGCAGGCATTTTGTCATCATCTTGGATTGTGGTACTGAACTTTTGACCAGTTTTCCAGAACTTTCTCCCCAAAAGATTTTTCCAGGTTTTCCATAACAATGTGGATCCACTGTATCGCAGGACAATACAACACAAACAAACAACCAACAGCTTGGATGCTACACTGTGTGCCAGCTAGGATAAAAGGGATGAGTGAGTGAGTCACCTAATCCCAGCCACCTAAAATACCAGTGGACATGGCACCCTGAAGATGTGTGTAATCTACACTTCAGAATATGGTTCGACACTCTGCTTTGCACTTTATGTAAGACGCCGTTAACTTCAGGGCATGTCTGTCAGTTTGTTGTGTGAGAACAGACATCTTACATCTGTACAACTGCCACCAGAAGTTCCTGTTTTATGATACATGGTTACTGAAAGGATTGTGGTTTCTTTAAGATTACACATGAAAGAAAGAAGTAAGTGTGCTTGTGAAGTCAAAGCTCAAGCCTCAAACACTGAAGACGTACCCTCCTCTGGTGCGGAGCTCTCTGCTGAGCTGTCTCCATCTGAGCTGCCAGACGCCGTTGCTTTATTAACCTTCTTCTTTGTGGCGTTCTTCTTCTCGGACCCTTTCCCTGGCTTAACCTTCTTTTTGCCTTTGGTGCCTCCCACAGTCCACTAGACAAAGGAGTGAAAAATATTAGTTTTACTCATCAAATAGCTGGAAATGAGAGAGAAAAGTGGTCTATTCTTCTGGTGAGAATGTGTTCAAAGTGCTTGATAACTACATAAGAACATGTTTCTCTGAGAGCAAATACTAAGACTGCCATACCTCATCGTCACTATCGGACGTCTCTGAGTCTGTAGAAGCTGCAGGTTTGCTGACAGGCTCTTCCTGCTCACCCGAATCGACCCTCTTCCTCTTCGCCAAAGACAAGAGCTCCTGAAAATGAGAACAAAGTGATCAGAATCAGAAGTACTTTATTGACCCGGGGGGGAAGGGTTCAGAAAGAGCACCCAGTAAAATCACAATCACTCAAAGTGGAAAAAGTAGGAAAATGCCTCCTGAAAGTATAGCGCTGCTCATACTTGCCAATAATACAGGTCTAAATAAACCCAAACCACATGGAGGACGCGAGCGGATCTAATGTTCCAAGCCCCATTCAGAGGTGACATGTATATGGCAATGTATATATAGAGTGAAGGTGGCCACTGCTTCTGTTTAAGGACTGACTTGTCCACTTTTTAACATGCACATGGCAGGAAAACTGAGCTGAGTTGCCAAGACAAGGGTTTGAAAGCTCACTGTCTAGCTGAGTGGGCAGGAGCAAATGTGTATTGTTGTTTCACAGCGGCCAATTTTCCACAGGTAAAATAACACGTGAGCAAAGAAGCATCATGGTGGTCATCAAAACTCATTCTGATGACATTGTCTGAGCAGCAGTTTGTCTCAACTGGATTTTATGCTGAACTTATATGTGCATTAGTGGTCGACAGATATGGGTTTTTGACTGGCCGATGAGAGAGAGCGAGGCTGCCGATGTCCGATATATAATGCTGATATCAAAACAAAGAAAACTTATGTATAATTGTATTCTGTTCTGTAGGATATTCAAGAAGGAGTCATAGTACGGGGCTCCAGACCAACTTTTTCCCCACCTTCCCAAAACATCGTTCCACAGCAGCCACACAGACAACGGCCGATGCTGATTATCTCTACCGATTAATCTGTCTTCCACTAATGTGCATATACCTGAATTCCTATTCTGCTTTAAGAATGTGGAAAAGCTGAAATCCACACACCGTTCCAGTGCAGTGCAACGATCCCTGCCAATACTGATGTGACTAATTCACATTAAATAGTTTCTGTTTCATTATAAATTCAGTGTTTTGGTCCATCATCACAATGGGCATACTCGGTTATTAGTGCCACAGAAGTCCCTAGACTCATGGCCACCTTGCCTAAAAGAAATCTTCCAGACATTAACGTTTGCAGATATTAAATCAGGGAAAAGTTGGTCCTCATATTTGGATCTGTGTCAACATCTCCCTACCTAAAACTCATCAAAACATACTAAACTCTGCAAACATGATACGATTATGCACAGCTGCCTTCATCAGGGCGATCTCAAAACACAAAGTGGAAAGCACTGACCAGCTTTTCGATGATTGTGAACATGCTTGCAGAACTAACTCATGTGGTTTTTCCACCACCTGAGCCAACCACATAAATCAGTCTACTCTCTCTCTCTCAGGTAAAAGCTCAATCAATGTCACTGAGGCAACAACAACAACAACAACAACAACAACAACACCGAAATAGCGCTTCAGCTCTGCGCCCATGACGTCATTCAGGAGATAAGGTTCTTCTGGTTAAATCAACCCGACCCGGCCCACAGATCCAATGCCCCCCCTCTAACAGTGCACCGGTAGTCAGCTTACACTATAACACCAGTGGGTTGGGGGGGGGGTGTAACCTTAACGATAGCATAAGTTAGCGGGCTCATGCTACAGAAACCCGCCCCCCCCCTTCCCCTTCCTCTTCCTCTAATGTTTATTAAAAAACAAAAACAACATTTTATTCGACTTCAGGAATTGCGTGTTTACTGAGGAGGAAAAAAAAGGGGGGGGGGAGAGGGTTTGTAAATAAGAAGGGCCCCACACTCTCAGCTTGTTCGAGCGAGGCCCCAACACACACACACACACACACACACACACACACACACACACACACACACACACAGACGGAATCCGTTAGCATACGTTAGCTTCACCTCCAAAGTGTTTACAACTCAACACGAGATCCGTTTACACGACAGTTAGGGAACAAACGCGCACCTACCTGATCTAAATTATCGTCGCTAGCACTGTCTTCCGAGTCAGAGTCAATCACGACCCGACCTTTCCGTTTCTTTACATTCACCATGATTAGCTGCGCGGCTAACCTGCTAGCTACCTCTGTGTCGTCTAAATGTCTGAGGCTAGCCGCGGCTGCTACCTTAGCTAGCTGGCTCTGCAGTCAACCACACAAAGGCAGCACTGAGCATGCGCGCTCCGTTGTTTGATACCGTAGTTTTATCGCCGGGTTTTAACGTTATATCGCCTGTGGGATAAAACATAAATGAAAATAAAAAAATCGTTCTTATGCTTGTGTTGTTGGTGTGAATTATTAATGGGGTCTACATGAGAGACTTATTGGTGCGAGGACATTGGCGGTTGGCGCAGAGCAGAACTACATATTGTGAGTGAGTGCGTCAGTCCGGACGGGAATCGTCGGTGCACCAGAGCTGCGTTCAAGACCCACTGTGTTATCAACGTTTAAATCCGCTGCCCAGTGTGGTTTGACTCGCGTTTGTTTAACGTCTCTGCACGAACGTATGCTGAACGCAGCCCGGGTGTTTTCCGTTGGGTCCTCCTGCGTGCATCCGGACGTCCTTGGGTTTTGTGGCTGAGCGTTAATGTGACACACACCGGTTTATACAGCGGTTTGTTTTAATAGCGGGGTTTTAACAGAGGTCAGTCGGTGGTCCGGTCGAACTAGAACAAGAACCGAAGTCGGTGAAATATCCATCCGCCTCCCTTGTTTTGGTACAACATGGTCAGAGTGAGTAGAAACAGATTATGCTGACTATCTATTTAAAGTCTTAAACGTGACTGTAGTTAACTGCTGCTGTCTTTATTGTTATCTTATTACTGTTTAATTCATTTAGTCAAAAAATTATAAATTTACCTGGTTCAAAAACAGCTTAATTCTTCTTAATTAGTTACTAGTAGTTAGATAAGCAAGCAACTCTTTCCTCTATGTGTTAGGTGAGCCATTGATTAATCAGTGATCAGATTCTCAGCACACAGAAACATCAATTCTTTTATTTATCACCAAGTGGGGGAAACTGGTGTGTACAGTAAAAGCAATGAGACATAAATCAGACACCCAGTAGATGCATCAAAGTGTAGCTAAAGAGCCCACCGAGCCAATAAATCAAAAAAAGTGAAGCAAAAAAAAACCCACATTTGAACAGTTATTAGAAATCCAATCATAAGGGATGCACCTGTTAACACAACTAATAGAGTAATCAAACTGTAAAAAGATCAGAAAATCAAATAACAATCTAAAGAATTGACTCATTGATCACAATCTATCAAGCCACTTAAATAAGATTTTCTAGCACTTTGTCTCTTTGTACATCCAAGAAACTGAACCCTGATGGTCCATTACCACCCTGTAACTCGAGTGTAATGACACCACTTTTCCATGTGATGTATCCCAGCAGTGACTCGTCCATATCGCCACTGAAATGTCTCTGCCAACGATCACACGTCTCCCCTCAGCGAGGCTGCTGAGCTCCCTCCTCCTCCACCACCAGCACCATCTCCTCCTCCCCTCCATCGCTCCTCTCACTGTGCCCACAAGATTAATTCATGCTGAATACAGACGACCCGGCAAACCCAAAGAAAACCTATGGCAGAAGATTAACATCGACTTCTCAAAGGGTATGAAGGGGATAAAGAAGAATTTCACACTGCTGAAAAATGAGTTTTTTGACCGATGGGTTGGTCCAGAAGGTAAACCGATCCTTGAGCACATGCTGGAGCAGAACCGAGTGGTATGGGAGTTCAGAGGTCCAGAGAGCCTGGAGCACTGGACGTTGTCCTCAGATCGTGAGGTGGGAGGCCAGAGTGAAGTTTACTTGAAGCTGGGCAAAAACAGCAATACCTGTTTTCTGTACGGGACTCTGAACTGCACTCCTCCAAGAGACGGAGAAACACGCTACAGTGGCTACTGCACCATGCGCTCCAAGCAACCACTGGTTAGTGTCCTGCCTTTTTCTTCTTAAAGCTCTAATGAGGATGTAACTCTAACAGTATCCAGGCCCGCTGAGCACACTGAGGCCATGTTCTCAGTATTTTCTCAAAAAATCTGTGGATTTTAGCAACTTAGCTGATGTTTTTGTAGGCTGATATCAAAACTCAGTATATACAACCAGTAAATAAATACATGCTTCAGGTTTTTTTTGGAGACAAATGACAGAAAATGTACTTCCAACAGCTAACTTTAAGATTTTATTGTTGAAGTCTGAGCTACTACTACTCTAGCAGAAAGAGCCAGGAAATATTTCAGTATTTCTCATTAATCCTTATCATTTTAAATACTGTGAATCGTGGTGCTTGTTGTCTTTTGTATCTTACCTCGAGTGGTATTGAATTGAAGGTTAAAAACTATAAAGCAGCTACTAAATCAAACTCCTCCTAGAATGATTTCAGCCACACTGGCAGGTAACCAAAAATCAGCTCCATGTGTGTACCAACTTCATTCCTCATGCACAATACACGAGCTGAATTTACAGACGAGTTCCTCTTCCTCTTCTGTGGGTTATCGGTGTAAGTTTGTATTGGAAAGAAAAACCTGCAGGTTCTCACCTGTTCTTAAATTAGTGTTGGTGACAGTTAGATGACTTAAAGGTTAACCCCCAGACTGTTGTCTCTCTCCCAGGCTTCATTTGATAGGAAAAAGCACCACGACTGGTCCAGTTTCAACACCCTGCATTTGCGTGTGCGTGGCGATGGCCGTCCGTGGATGATCAACCTTGCAACAGAAACGTACTTCTCGCATCAGAAAGATGACATATACAGCTATTTCCTGTATACCAGGGGAGGACCCTACTGGCAAGATGTCAAGGTGAGCAAAACATATTAAAACCAGTAAGAGTTCTGCTGAACTGCTGTATGTTGACGTACCAGAAGAAAGGTCATTCTAAGACTGAAGTGCTACTCATTCACAGATCCCTTTCTCCAAGTTCTTCCTTGCATATCGTGGGAGGATACACGACACTCAGCACCCTCTCTGGGTGGACAAGGTACAGCAAAGGAAAAGTCAAACTGACATCAAATACAAAAACAAAATGAAGCCAAAACTGATCATAACTGTAGTATTCTTAACTTTTTTTTTTTTACCCCCAGTTCAGTTTATATTTTCTAAACCTTTTTGTGTTTACAGGTAAACACCATTGGATTTACGCTGGGGGATAAAGCCAACGGTCCGTTCCAGCTGGAGATCGATTTCATTGGCGTCTGCAAAGATTATGCACACACTGAGGAGTGTGCCTATGAGATGTACAAGAGGAATCCTGAAGTTTGAGAGGAACTATTACAATACTGCAGATGAACGGTTATTGAAGAATAGTTCTGTTACTGAAACTCCTACCTTCTGCCATCTTGGTGACATTTAATTTAAGATGCTGTTTATCTGGATTCTAGTACATGTACTCTGATACTTCACAGACTATCACACGTTCCCAGAAGAAATACGTTCCTGTTCGTGAAAATAAGCCAATGTGGTCAATTCAGGACAGGATCAAGTCCTGTACATGACAGGTCTTCTTCCACGAGATAATGTCCACAACCCAAATCTTAATAAAACATCATTTTCTCATGAACTAACTTTTATAGGACAGATTTCATTATCAGACTTCGATTCCACACAAATGTTAGCAATAGCAATTTAATTTAAAAATAAACGCAGACAAGTAAATCTTTTGCATCTATGTTTTTTATCAGTCTTTCCCAAAAAGTAAAAAAACATAGCAAGCATATCAAATTTTTAAGAACAAAATTAACTGTTTAAAATGCAGTAAAACAGGACATCGATTCTCTACACATCAGAATACATAAATGCATCATTCAGAGCTATGAAGTGTTTAAACTAATGCACAAGTCAAATCTAAAAAACACTGCACAATAGATAGAGTTGTTAATTTCCCAACATCAGGCTGAAAGAATGTAGAAATAAACGGGTCAGCTGCAGACGACAAAATATTTACACTGGAACGACAGGCTGTACAAACGTCTACAAACACTTTTACATCATGACAAGGCCTCTTCTTGCCCCGAGCATGCTCTCCTTCTTCTGCTTCCTGTCTTCCATTTGTTTTGCCCTCCTGTCTCCCCTAAAATAAGATACAGAGACATCCGTAAGAGACTGATGTTGGGAGAGTTCATCATTATGGGAGGCAAATCAATATCAGCCAGTGTGTGCTTTTATTTTGACACATACCTTGTCTGGACCTGGTGCTGTTTGTAATTTTTCTGATGCGAGTTTGAGACCAGCGACACGTTTCCTGCTGTGTTTTCTTTGGTCTCTCCAAACGGCTTCAGTTTACCTATAGTAAAAAGAAAAATTAACCGTCACAGATTTGTCTGTGTACTGATACTATATTTCGGTGAGGCAGAGAAATTAAAAAGCGGTTTTGTACCTGTATGAGGCTTGTAGGTGAGGGGACGAGACAGACTCGCCTTCAGATCAAAGGCTGACTTCTTCTGTGTTCCGGGGGTTGTTAAAGTACTTGTATTGCCGGTGAAAACGAATGTGCCTTTTGAAGAGAAAGAGAAACAACTAAATTGCTCACTCTATACACATCAATGAGAAATGATATAATTCCAAAGATTAAAAAGCTAAAAGTTACCTGGAGTTTTTGTGGCGGAGAAAGTCAAAGTCTTGACATTGTTGGGCTTTCCTCCATCAGCGGTGGTTTTTTGTGGGGTGCTCGAGGTCACGCAGGGCGACATGCGTGCTGGCGTCTTCACCATGGACCTCTTATATTCATTGTCATGAGTGGCTTCTGAAAACCTGCATAAGACACAATTGGTAGTTACAGCATCGCAATGAATACTGTGTACACAGGGCCTATAAGAAGTATTAAACCCCATCGGAAGTTTATCATCATCAAAGAGATCCATTAAATCAAAAATACCAATGAGGACCAATAGAAGAAGACCTTTTAATTTCAAAAGTGAAAAGGTGGCAAATACTTTGGCTGCATTCACACATACAAAAGTAGTAAGCAGACTCTTTTGCAAACATTTATTATTACTTTATAATTCAAGTCCAACTCAAACTAGATAAAACTGTAAAACAAAAAAAATCTATAAAAAAGGTCTTTGTAAGAATGTTATGCACAAGGGGAGGAAGCATGGCATGAAAACAATCTGACCATACGAGTGGCTCAGAGGTCCGAAGCTTTAGCAGCAACAGCTGGATACTGAGATTAATCACTAACCCAGCAAACATCCAAGGAAGAAAGAGCAACTCACCGAACATTGATCCTCCGGGTGGAAAGGACAGATGGTCTGAACGGAGCATCTTCCTTCCCAGCAGGTTTATTTGGAGGAGCTTTACTGGCTGAGAGCAAAGTGTGTCTGCGTTTGTCCTCAGCTGCTTTCTTATTCTCCGGGACCGGGCTGAACATGGAAGCGCGACTCTGATTTGGCTTCTGTGGAATACATACAAACAGGTCATTACTTATACTGCAGCTGTAGTGACTGAACAATCCTGGATGCTCAACAGGTGGTGATACTTACCGCTCGAGTTTTGCCATCAACTTGCTGCTGTTTGGTTTTGTCTGAAAGTTTCTTTAAAAAAAAAAAAGAAAAGGAATACAGATTAAAAACATCAAGTTCAGATATAACATTTATACTTTATGGTTTCAAATCAGATAAGAAGCTTTTGAGTACCTTCAGTTCTGTAACTGAACTTCTGTAAGTCTCCATCTGCTTGGTCTTCCGCTGGACATACGTGTCAATCGACTCCATCTTGTTAAAATGTGCCTCGTGGAGTTTCTTGAAGTCTACAAAAAAAAAAAAAAAAAGAGATAATTTAATTCCCTGCATTCATTAGTGGTTCAAAAGGAGATTGGGTGGGAGGGCGATAAAAAAACAGAAGAATGAAGAAAGATCTTACTAGGAGTCACAGGCTTCAACAGCGGCTTGCTCTTCAGTTGGAGCCCTTGGTAGCGAGGAATCTTACCCGCTTTGGCCACTTTTGGGGCTTTTTCTGGACACACAAAGTCTAAGTCAAATAAAGGATAAGTGACCAAAACGTCCTGTTAAAGTCAAGAATCTCTGAAGAACATAATACTCCATCAATTAACAGTTACTGACCTGTATCACCGTGCACAGGTGCTTCATCCTTACAGGCTGACTGCTCACTGCCAGTGGCCTGAGGATCCTCCAGAGGCTCAGTTTCACTTTTGTCAGACTCCTTGGTGGAGGACACTTTTCTCTTCTTAGCACCCCTACGTGCAGCCACTTCAGTGTCACCCTTACAGAGAACAACAGTTGTTAAAGCCTCAGATCCTCAATGCAACAAAGTAAACCCGTGCACAGGGAGAAAATGGTGTTTATCATACACGATGTGGAATACCTCTGCAGCACTTGGAGGTAACTTGGAGTCACACTCAGTCCCGGTTTTAGTATCAGAGATCTTCCTCTTGGTACCGTTTCCTTTGCCTCGGCGTGTGTTCACAAACACAGCGGGGCTGGAGACCTCGTCCTCCCAAGATGCGTCTTTATTTCCCTGAGTGCTCTCTTGTTGGACCACAGCGGCATCCGTCTCTTGTCCCTGGAAAACACCACAGCAACACACACACACACACACACACACACACACACACACACACACACACACACACACACACACACACACACACACACACAACACACACACACACACACACACACACACACACCGACATGTCACCAAACAATGGATGAGCTACAAGAATGAACGGCGTCATGGGTGAGGATGACGCTACCTGCTCTTCCTCCTTGTTGTTTTTTTCTTGTTCGTAGTGCTGCTTGATCGCTTTCAGGAGTTTATCGGCCTGTTTTCGAATAAAAAAAAAAAAAAATAAACGTTAGCTGGTTGAGTTTAATTCACCTAACATCTTTAACGTTAGCTCACAGTGACCGTTAGCCCCATCAAGCTTCCGTTCAGATTTAACTTCCAAGTCATCCATTACCTTCATGTTCGCTTTAAGCCCGAGCTCCTTAGCGAGGCTTCTCAACTCTGCATACTTCATGGAGTCCAGATCCATGTCGGCGGGTTAGTTTTATTCCGTTTTGTGAGGTGAAATCAGTATAAACACACGTTTCGGAGTCTCTCGCGCTGTGAGCGGTGGCGGTTAAAACCACTCCGATTCAAAACACAGCAGCGGGAGCCGTCTGATTGGCTCGTGTGTGTGACCGGAAGTACCTCGCAGCCAATCAGAGCGAAGACGCTTTTTAAAAAATTATTATTATTTTTTTAGCGTTCTGTAAAATAGGAGCCATTTTTAATCCATCAGTTAATATTTCTGCTTGAATTTCGATTAAAAATAATTATTTAATTGTATTTTAATTTATTTATTTAGCATTCTCTTTTTTTCGTTCTTTGTCAGTACGGCGGCACTTCGTCATTTCCTCCAGACGGTGGCAGTGTGCAACCGAGCGAGCCAACGCTACAGCGCGCAGAGCCACCAACAGAAGAAGAGACGTCCTGCTTTCTGATCCCGAGTTCAAATTCACAAGCGGGTCTGAACAACTGGCTATCCGTAAAAAAAAAAAAAAATAATAAAAAACCTACCACAAACATGGAATTTGACGGAAGCCTGTTAATCCAGTGCACCGCGGACTCGAAGCTGGTCTCTGAGGTGGAGCACCAACAGCTGATGACCCTCCACTGTCAGCAGTGTAACGCTGTGTTGGGAGACTCTCTCGGCGTCTGTGGGGAGGTGAAATGTATGGACTCTATCATGTGCATAAGTAAGTTCACTTCACCTCTCAGCGATTGCTTCAGACTCTGAAAACAAGTTGTTGTTGTTGTGTGTGTTTGTGTTGGGAGATTACCTGTTGTGTGTGTGTGTGTGTGTGTGTGGTGTGTGCAGTGGTCTAGTTGAGGTGGGCGGGTTGATTCTTATGGTGGAGGAGCAAATCAACATCCTTTCATGAGAAGAAGGGAAACAAAGAAAGATAGAAGAGAGATTTCTTTTCCCATCTGAAGATATATTTATATATTTTCACTGTCATGGAGGTATCAGATGACCTAGTTGTATGTGTCCCTTTTATTTTGTTAAATTATTTAGTGTTTGTGAACTGTGGAGGGTTTTATGATCTTGTTTTATTATTGCATGTGAAACCTGTTGCAGTCTTCCAACTTCAGCCATTTTGTGTTGTAAATTTGTATTATTTGTTTGTAATGTGTGTTTTGCAGGGCTCCCTTCATCGGTTATAACCACATGCTTAATCCCTGTATGATATTAATCAACACTTTACTGCCTGTCTCCCTCCAGGAGTAACTAATGATGTGGTCGTCAGTGATGCAGCGGAGTCAAGACACAAAGGGGAAATGGCAAATTGGTCAGTGAAAAAGTATTTTGGCTTTTGGACAGCTGTAAATATGCCTTAGTATTTATTCTATTATAACATTTTATGCTTGTAGAGGCAAAAAAAAACACAGCTACAGTAGACAACTTCACAGAACTTTATCATGTGGTTAAAGCTGAATATATGTAAAGTGACTTTCTACGTCTTTAATTTAAGTAAATGAACAAGTTCATATTAGGAGCTTTGTTGCCTTCAACCCTCAGGTGAAACACACGTATATAAAACATACATACAATAAAGTAATGCATATAATGTAACATGTAAACATCTCTTACCATAATGCAATGTCAGGTTTAGATCTAAATTGTGGGATGGCAACATGGGTGTAAACATAAGACACACATAAAACCTCTATCCTCCACTGCCACCTACAGGTTACTGACTGTGATTAATAAATGTGTTCCTCTCAGTCAACCTGTTTACTGCCACGTCTGAAAGCTTTGTTTGTTTGTGTTGTTTTGTTTTCACTGCTTCTGTTTCCTCTCAGCATCTACAGTTCTCTAAAGTGTCGCGGCTGCTGCTCTGCTGTGGGTCGAGTCATTCACTCAGCCCCGTCTCGTTTGGCCACGGTTCGCTCCATATTTCTCCTCTACAAAGCAAACATCAGTTGGTAAGCTCCGCTGCCACTTGCGAGCACACAAAGCATATTGACTTCTTGTGTACAGGTTTACGGCCATCTGGAGAGGATAAAATAAACAAGTGTTTGTATGAATTGCTTTTTTTCAAAGGCTACATCACTAGATCCTTCAAAAGTCCTGTTTTCTGTTTTTCTGTTTTTCTCTGCAGTTACATCCTCAACAGCAGCTCAATGGTGAAAGCATCCACACTTACATTTGATCTGAAGGCCTTAAAAGAAAGCATTAATGAGGTGAGACAATGAAATCTAATACTGTGTTTATTCTTATGATGAGAAATAATATCTGTATGTACAGCTGCAGTGTCTCATTCTTATACTCTCATAATAATCTCATAATCTGAGTACTGTTTCTACTGTAGTGACATATGAGAGGCACTTACTTCATCTATGATCTGGCAATTTAACTTTTATATAACATGTCCTTAATTGAATCCCCCTGAGGAGTATGAACAGTCAAAAAAAAATTAAGTTTGCCAGAGTAACATCTCCGACTATAACCCATCCAACCTCAGCTGTACTAAAGATTGAGTCCAAAACAGCATTCCAGTAAATCCAGTTCCCTTTGAATTTGTACTTGTAGATGTTTTCCTACACGCTCAAAAGTTCAAGTGTGACAAAGGACTATTGTGAAAAGAAAACGCAGGCAGGAATGGAAAAAAAAACAACCAAATCTCTTTTCACTGCAGGTGAGACAGCAGTTTGAAGCGCAGTTGGATCAGATGTCACACATTAAGAGCAGACTGGCCAACAGGAGTCTTACCAGTGAATTTGACAAGTAGAGTTCACAACCAATCTACACGGTGCCTAGTCCTGGGATTAGGGACCATGTGTTCTCATTTGTTCTTCAATCTGCTCTCCAATCCCTTATTCAGACTAATTTGTGTTGTAAGCTGTTGTTTTTTTCCCCCCACATGTTTTGTGTTTCCATTAAAGGTTTTTTGGTGATGCAGGCATTGCTGTCTTTGTTTTATTTATTAGTTTTCATCAGTCTCTGCAGATGTATTGTCCATATTGTAGTATTTAAACTGAAAGTCTGCATCAATATTACATTTGAACAGTTGAAACTGATTTCTGGCCAATATTGTGATCATTATTTATCTGATTCTCTACGGTTAAACCTCCTTCAATCCATTTTCCAACCTTGCCAGACTTAAATAATGCTGTTAATGTTTATATTTTTGGCCATACAAGCATTGTGGTTCTGGGGTTGGAAACATATTCGGTCCAGAGTGAAATATCTCTACAACTGTTAGATGAATTAACGTAACCTCTCAGACAGATAATTATGGTCCCCATTCTTTGGTGACTTTATCCAGCGCCACCAAAAGTTAGTTAGTTAGTCTTAGTTACATGCCAAAACAGTTAGCTGTTAGCCCACTAGCCACCACTGTTGCTTATCTCACTATTTATTTGGTTGCCGGGCAACCTCACTGTGTAAAGTCACTGCACCTGGCTGTTCATCAAGAAATACATGCGTGCTCCGCCATTAACGAACAAGGTGAGTGAAGTTACCCAGTGAAATGTTTTTATCTACTGTAGAAATAAACTAGACACTGAATACTGTCTGTAGTTTATCTGTTTAGAGACACATGTACATTAAAATATTTTGGACGGATTTGATGAAAAAGACATAAAACTGTAGACGTTTTTGCTGTTTTTATTATTATTTCTATACTAACTGAAATGTATATGCCAGCATTAGAACCTGGAAACTAGGGATGCACGATATTTATTGGGCTGATGATGTTAAATTTATGCTATCGTAAATCATCCTGATAATAAAAGTCCATAATAATTGTGTTAACATTAGAGAGATCAGTTAGATTTGGCTAGATCAGAGTTATTGAGTATTAAATCATCCATCTTTGATTTAATATTAACTTAATGTGAATATATGTGGATTTTAAATACATGTTGAACTATTCTTATAAACTCAAAATACAGCATTAGGAATTCAGTCCTATCTCAGGACTAACTTTATATTTGTGCCATTTTCCCTTTAATAATCTTTATTCTCTGGCATGTAACAAGAATTACACTCTCACGTGGGTGTAAACGAAGCTACAGACTGATGATGATGATGATGATGATGATGATGATTCATTCATTCTGTGACAGCACACAAACTCTTCAGTAAACACCAACACTCAGCCATCCAATTGGCACCATGCTGCATTTTATTGCTGAATTTCTGATACAGATCCTCTTTTTTTTTTTTCTTCAGTTAATACAAAACCAGACAAGAGGCTCACACGTAATAAGCATGCCCATTTCCTCCCTCTGGAGTGCATAGTTTCTACACAGTCCACTTCCTCAGTGGAAAAGTTGATCAACAAAGTAATGTAATTAATCATAATCTTACCTAAGCTTTTGTTGTTGTTGTTGTTTTTTCATGGGAACAAAGGTTAAGTGGTGTTTTTCAGCTGCACTGTGGCTGTACTGCCATAGAGTGAGAGCAGAAAACACTTAAAACTACTCTCCGTTATTCTTTTTTTTTGTTGCAGTGTAGTCAGTAAAAACCACAGCTGATGATCAAAGCTACTTCAACATGCTTGCTGTTGTGTCAAACAACCGTCCCCAAGTTGTCACCTTGTCACAGAAACATCTGATAAGAACATTTCATTAGCCTAATTACACTCATTCACATTACAAAGTTGGATTATTGCATGCAATACAAATCATTCGTTACTCTGCTAAAGTCATGCATATTTTTTAAACCCCATATATTCGTGTTGCTAGACGCCTACTTCCTTATAAATTGTGATTATAAATCCCCACAAAGAGCATTACAGGGTTTTTAGAACACAGTATTCAAGACAGGATGGTGATGATGACGGTGCAAGTCAGTACGTAGAGAGAAAGTGCTTTTCAAACAAGTGTCAAGTTCGTTCAGTAAGTCCTTTGCAGCCACAGAGTTACTGAAAGTCTACATTTCTAAAAAGGAAGAGGTGGGTTTTGTGGATGTAAGAATGCTACAAGAATTGAAATCTCTCATGTACAGATTGGTTTTTAAATTACTGTTTTGGTGTGCAAAGAATACAAGGCCGGGAAACTAGTGTGTGAAAAATATAAGTATTTAGTTTTGTCTGTGTGATAACATGATGCTACAGCTGTCCTCACGTATACCTTGTTCTGCAGGAAGTATCCCAAACCTTTGTATGTGATACTGTATTCTAAAGCCAAACATTGTACGACTCCCCCCGAAAAAGTGACTAATAGATAGCTACCTTAGGCATAAAAGAGAGGAGGGAAATCCCTTCAACATGAAATTACATACTCCTTTTTAACACTTACACCCTGGCACTAAACTCATGCATTATTGTAGGTTATTGCTTCTAAAACTCTAATCAAATACAATTTTATGGATTAAAATATATCGCTCTGAATCCCAAAACTATGAGGTAATATGTACAATACGGTGTCATGGTGAGATCTTAATTCTAGGACTAAAACACTACGTCGGATCCCTAGCAATTATATCCAAATCTAAGATTAAAGCACTACTCTTCATATAACAGTTCTCTACAGGTTTCTATCATTGTCACATCTGAGAGATTTTTGGCTGTCACGTAATAACTAATTCTTTAGATGCTTGAGAGTGCATGAATGACAATTTAGGACATCTCTTAAGCTTCTTTTCCCCCCCCTAGATAATAATCCTAAGAACGTAGAGCGGTTCTGTTAGAAAGCATTTACTTATATTGAGCATATACGCCTATAAAACGACTTGAATCAATACTTTTTAACTGCATAGCCTGATTGTGTCATACTTTAATTGTATTTTAAAATCATGCAACTTCCTCTACACCCGAGGCGTGGAATAAAAAGGAGATCTCGCATTAGTCTAAGATTTTAGGGCAAAGCTGTATCTAAATGTGGTATATTTAAAAAGGTCTAGTAAGTCAGTCTACCGCTGTTTAATTTGACATAGTTTCCACAGTTTTGAGCTCCAGCTTAGTCTAGAAATCGATTTCACTATTCTTCATGAAGCAAGCGTCACTACTGGTCATGCATGGCTACTATAATGTTGGCACCACAGTCCTGCTAAATAAGCTATGATGCACATGAGTCTATACATATCTTAATGGAAGACATTGGTGATTTTGTTGCTTTCAAACAACTTGTCACTTGTTTATACAATATACAGTTTGGTCAACAACATGACAGTTAAGATCAAATATTGCACAAATCCCGGTAAATGTTTGTTTTTCTTCATATAAATCAGGTAAAAAAAAAAGGAACAAAAAAAAACAAAAGAAATGAGACCAGGGTTTCCTTCAGGTAAAGACAAATCCGATGTAAGCTTGGTTTAAAGCTGCTACTTCAACACTGGTGTCTCTCAGCTTACTGGAGACATGAAAACAGCAAGTAGAGACAAAGCCTTGATGACGGTTGATAAAATTTGCTGGGCAAGTCAGATTCACTCTTTTTGGATTATTGTGTCTCATGGTTCATGGCCCAAAAAGGAATCTGTCTGCGACTACCTGCAGCGTGTAAAGCGTAAATGAGACCTTGTGTTAAAGAGGGAAAGAAGAAAATGAGAGCTTGTTAGCGCGTTCAAAGGGCGAAATTAGAACATATCCAGGAGGAAAAGACGAAAAATAAAAGTATGTTAAGGGGGAACAAGACTAAGACAAAATGAAGAGAATACTACAGGAAGAAAATTGGACTAGACTTCTTCAATAAAAGACTAACTTTAAATACTGTAAGCTGCCAAATTTTAGGGGATCTTTTGAGTCACAAGGGGAATATTGCCAACTTTGTCTCTACCTGCAATTTTGTGAATAAACCTGCAGACAAAGGAGAGCACAATAAGCCCAAAATGCAAAAATTAAGAGCATGGAGTAAAAATACTATCCTGTGACGTTCCTTTAGGACAGATGCATAGGGGACCACAGTTTGAGTGAGTCAGCGTTTTCCTCAAAAATGTCTGAACTGAAAGTAAATATCAGTGTGCACGCTCGGCCTTCATCTATCGACTCTTAACAACCTCGCTTATTAACCCTCTTAAATTCTAAAACCAAATTAATTCAGGAACATTATATAAAACTGCTGTGGCGCTTGACAACCATTGAGATATTTGTACTGATCACGCTCCCTTTCACTCACTGTTGGACTTGTTATGGTGATGAGGTAGTGCAAAAAAAAAAAACCACCCTATGAGTCTAATTTAATCACAGGCCTTGATCTTTGCTACAGTATCGTGTGTCATTACTTTCTTCCCAGGAAACAGGAGCAGTTTGTTCATTATCAAACTGCTTTGATCTAGTTTAAGAGCATGTGGGGATGTTTTGTTGCACTCATTCAGGAACCATCGGTGACTACGTTTACATGCAGCGTGATAAGAAGCCAAATCTGGCTGAAAAAGCCCAAATGATGGAGATTTCCGGACATTTACGCCGAGAGCTGAAACTCCCCGGCATGTCAGCCAACTTGGTGACTGCAAACGCCATCGTTCCTACATGTAGACGTAGTCAGAGGGTGCGTGATGAAAGTCAGACTAGCCCACAATCTTGGGAGATGTCCTGACTGATGATCATGCGGCAGAAACAGGCCAGGACGGAGGGGGATGCTGTGGAGGAGAGAGGGCCAGTGTCCCAGCAACGGCAGGAGGGAGGACACCCGTGTCCCAAAAGCCCGAAAGCGGTCATCTTCACAGTGACTCGTTCTTTACCTCCACAGGTCTGGGCGGCCGTGGAAGTGATCCGTCGGTGGTGCTGGGGCTAGTTCGAAGCAAGATTTTCCCCTCCAGTCTGGGGCTTCAGCTGGTTTCACACCTGCACTGACTGGGAAATCCTAGAATACAAATTCACACATCATTTCTGTATTGTTGCACAGTTTAGTTTTAAATCTGTACATTTGAGGCCAGTTTCTTCTAAAGCAGAGCAACTGAAAGCGAATACTATATTAATGACTATTCATGGTGACAACTTGTGGTCTATAAAATGTCAAA